AAAAAATGTTTTTGACGATTGCAAGTTTTTTTTATTTAGATAAAAAGTAACAAATATGGTTCTGTATACCTTGATTAGAGTACAACGCCATCTTAAAATTGTGATAATTTATCATCCATCCAATTACTCGTACACAAAAAAGCGTGTACTATGAAACCTTGTGAAGGGAAATTAAGGCAACTTCATCTATTTCGTCATGAATTGATTGAATATTGGTTGCTTAATGTCAAGTGGCACATATTTCATGCATGTTTAGGACGATGTCATGAATTGAAAAACCGTGATAATGTCTGAAGAGAATGTGCCACCTATATATATACATGTTCTGATAAATCTTTTAGTTTTTTTACTTTGAAATAAAAAAAAAACATAAACCCTAGTATCTTTGATCTATTGGTAGTTGCTTTTTAATGACTATTCACTAGACTATCTATGGGAACATACCAGGTGCGGATCCAGCCATTTTCAAAAGGGTGTTCCAACCCAGGATAAAAGGGGGTTCCAATCATATGTCCCCATTCAAAAGCATTTTTCAAACCCCCGGACCCCCACCCCCTTAGATCCGCCACTGCATACTATCTATATGTTTCCAATTTATTATAGCTTTAGTTTTACTGTGAAATTGTAAAATGTTTACAAGACATGTAAAGCTTCCACTGCAATTTAATTATTGCCTGCTTTTGGTCAATTTTTTTTGTCATCTTACCATGTAAAGAAGTGCATGTATAGTAAAGCACAACTCTATATGAATAAACATACTTACACCAGCAGCTACCATCTTTTCATTCTGGGGTCAAGGGCCTTTTAAAATCACATATTTTACAATGATACTTGTGAGTAGATTTATCAAACTTCGTTAATGAGCTACGTTTTACAAACACCAGTAATACAAGTAGTCAGCCAAAATAAACTATCAATGGACCAATTAAAAGTTTACTCGAGTTGTAAATATATGCTAAATTGGATAGTCTATGAAAAGGTATATACTATGAAATTAAGAGCTCGGGGCAAGCCCCTCGCTCTAAATTTCATAGAACATCCCTTTCCATAGACTAACCTAGACTTAGAATGACCCAAGCCGATATTAAATGAATAGTTAGAATTAAAATTCATTAATTACAATAAATAAAAGGATAAAAACAATTTATAAACTCATTATTATTTATTGTAAAGCACACAACCTCATCAGATACCTCAGAGACCATTCAGAACTTGTTTCGTTCCACGAGTTCATAATTTATAGTGACTTACCGTTGTAAATATTTGTGTAAACTATTGATTTTATTTGTGCATGATTTGTATCTGTACTTGTGTGTTTAAATATTATGAAGGACTAAAAAATATGGAGATTGAATACACAATCATAAAGTCTCATAAAAAAGGCCCACTGTTCAAAGTATCTAGTTTACACAAATGTCATACAGTATGTCATGCATTCCAGATTTATGACGACACACTCGACCTCGGATGAGTCGAACCTCGGATAAGTCGAATACTTTGGTGCGGTCCCTTTGACTTCGACATAACGAGGTTAATATATAATTAGCTGTATTTGACAAAACCTTTCGGAATTTTGGGGCCTCAATGCTCTTCAACTTCGTATCTTATTTGGCTTTTTTAATCATTTTTGTTTCGAGCGTCTCTTATGAGTCTTTTGTAGATTGAACACGAGTCTACCTTTGAAAATACAGTTGAACATGTGAATCGTACTAAACGAATCACATAAGTTAGATTATACAAAATAATAGTATACGTGTACTCTATTACTAGTAGCATAAATTGTTTGAATATCTTACTTAGGCAGGTTTGTACAGATGTAAGTACAGACGTTTGTAAATGAGAATTTAAGAAAATGTTCCAATTTCAGAAAATTTCGCTTTCCTTAGATTCTGAATTTTTTCTACAACTCTTTTTTATAGGTCAATATGAAAACAATAGTGTAGTATTCATCGGCTCTACAATAGTCATTCACAATCTACATTACACCCAGTTTTTGGTGGGGTTCGTGTTGCTTAGTCTTTAGTTTTCTATGTTGTGTCATCTGTACTATTATTTGTCTGTTTGTCTTTTTATTTTTGGCCATGACGTTGTCAGTTTGTTTTCGATCTATGAGTTTGACTGTCCCTCTGGTATCTTTCGTCCCTCTTTTACACTTATGAGCTGAATGAATCTGATATAATAGAAACATTAAATGACAGGTTTTATCAAGCTGCAGTAATATCTTAACTAGAAAATTTTGTAAATGATAAACCGATTGAAATATGATAAAAGACAATGTTTTGAGGTATGAGAACCTTTCGTTTGATATCTTCAAATATTGTTTGGAAACTTTTGTTTAGACTGGAGGAAAGCAATCGAAAATGGAAAATACCACACCCCTGTATGAAGACATTTTAAATTATCCTCTAACTCACGCGTACATGTGTCATTTTAGTGCATGTTGAAAATCATTTCCCTCATTCTATATATATATTTCTAATCAAAAGACAAAGATGGAATTCATTATGTGAATGTGAAAAAATCAATTATAAACCAATACGGACCCACGTGTATTGACCTTTTTACATGTATTGGTAAACAAAATAACACGAATACAAATGCCGGAAAACAAACATCTAGATCATTGCTTAAAAGTATACACTACTATCATGTCCAACCATCTTAAACCAAGGACTTTTACGTCCAATCAAAATACTGTTTTTCTGCCTTACTCATTGAAGGCATAGGTATCATAAGCCAAATATGGCATTTTTTTTCAATTCTCTTCAAATTCTTTATTGATTTCTGTTTTTAAAAAAGTTTGATGCGACCGATACTTACGGGTCTAGAAGATTTTATGACGTATCTAATTACTGTGACAATGATTAATCAATAACAAGACTTTTACTTCAAAATTGTCAAAAACTTGACATTTTCTAATGCCAAAAAAATGAACCGTGTCAAACTGTCAAAATGTTAACAAGTCAGAAAAATTCGATTTAATAAGTATTTAAACTCAATCAGTGATGTCGGTCACGACTTGAATAGTTTGCATAAAATTCAGTTAGAGGTTATATACATATGTTATGTTTTTTTTAACAACAAAAAGGTAAAACATCATACGATTGAAAATTTTAAGATTTTTCGTTCTTTGTGTATTTTTATTTGGATTGTGGGACAATTTTTAAGAAGGGTCATAGTTTATATACTTATAGCCGGTGAAGTTTTGATTCATTCTTTTTTTATCCAATGGAATCTTAAAAACTACAACACCGCAAGTAATTCGATGCAAAGTACATATAACTAAAAGAAAGAGAAAGTTACTGTTATAGTAATAAAAATCAATTCATAGGTTTTGTGCTTTCATTAATCAATTGTGTAATGACTTAGCCGTAAAGTAGTATACTTTAGACGAAACAAAACAATTGCAGTGTTTAGAGTTTCAACTGCAAACATGGGTGCAAATATTGACCTTCTAACAAATTGTGTTTTTCGCGCCTTTAAGATGAAAATAACAATAAACGATCGATTTAATATCATTTTCATTACCAATGCAAATATGTTTTATGCTTGGTCGGAAGTGTTTTTTTTTTTCGGATTCTAAATAAGTAATTTTCTATAGATCCATACAATGTGGAAAATTAATTATTAGAATGATATAACATATTAACGACCATTCTACGTTTAAATTCAAAACTATATACCAGAACATTTCTGGACTTTCATTAACAAATGATGTTATCGATCAGTAATGAGTGTGGGTTGTTTTGAAATTTAAAAAAAAATATCTTCAGTTTTGTTTTCTTCGTTTGTTTCTTTGTTTATTGATCATGATCTTGTTATGTCACTATTAGCATGAAAACTGAAGATGTGGTGTATACGCAAACGAGACAGTGACCAACCAAGAAAAAAACTAAAGACAGACAATGTTTTTGGTGGTAGCAGTCGAACATGATATTTCATCATTTGTAAATTCATAGAATTCAGAGAAGTTTTCCTATATACTGATGCTGCTTGTAATCCAAACGAATTACTACTATAACTACTACTTATACTCTGCAAAGAAGAGCAACGGTCACCAGTTGATATGTACTCCATTGATCAGATTTTCTTACACTTTCTTTGTAAATAGATGACAATCTCATTTGAGATCTATGTAGATGCAAAATGGGTATATTCTTGTTGTACAATATTTTAAAATAATGCTTTATCTTTTTTGTTCTTGTTTTAAATTTTTATTGGGATTTTTTTATTTATCTTTTAATTTAACTTGATTTAAATAATTGAGTTTTTGTATAACTGTTTCAGCCCGCTATATATGTATCTGCCTCCTACAATTATGTGACCTCTCTGGCATATCGTTTTGAATACTGAGAGGAAAGTTGCGGGTTCTTAATCGTCGATAAAGATTGTACGATGACATCTGAGTGGGTTGTTTTCTTGTTGTTGATACATGTCATTATCGTTGAAAAATTCAACCTACCGGGAAAGTATTGTAAAGAACATCGTTGATGTGTAATAATAGCGTTAAAAAAGAAGATAATTCTACACTCAAGGTATTTTTGTTCAACTGCAAAAATTATATGACAGTAGTATTCTGAAAAGGGATTTTCCAGGGGATGTTATAAATTAGAAATTAAGCGATAACACGGATATAATGCGAAGAAAAACATGAAATCTCAGTAATACTTGAAGTCGTTAAATTGACTATTAATGACAAACAAGTGTTAACCAAAAATGTCTACGTAATGTACGTCTAAATAAATAAATAAAAAAAAAAAACAAACAAATAAATAAATAAATAAATAAATAAATAAATAAATAAATAAATAAACATATATGTATATAAATTAAGAAAGAAAGAAAGAAAGAAATACATAAATAAATAATGATGATAAAATCTTTTGGGAATATTTGCTGTCTTCTCCAAAGATAATCAAAGTTGAATATTTTATAAGTACACACAAATTACAAAATATGAGAGAGTTAGTATACAACATGTACAACGAGACGAAACTTACCAAAACTTTGCTGTTGATACATAAAATCAAAACGAGAATAATGTTCAATCTTTGATCTGTAGGCATTCTTATGCACTGCCTGTTTGTTAAGTTATCAAAAGACTAAAACGCCGTATTCCATCTATTTTATACCCAAGTCGATTTCATGTAAATTTTTCAAGTCAATCGTTGCTTCATCTAGATTGGTTCTTATAGAAAATCAAAAACTGTAACTGAAAAGAGAAGGCGGTATTTAATTTTCATAACTTATAAAAACACTTATTTCATTTTTACGTAACAATTTTAGCATATAATAATATATCTTTGAAAACCATTCTAATAAAAACTATCAATTTATCTTATCGATTTAATGAAATTTAAAAGTTTCGAGTTATTTTCTCAAATATTTGATATTTGCATTTATGAATAGATGTATCTCTTGTTTAGTTGATTTAACACGATCTTTAAATATTTTTTAGCAAATACATTTTCTAAATTAAATATGAAATATTGAATTATGTACACTTTAGTGTAAAATTAAATACATTCAAAATACGTGTAATGACTGTGGCTGGAACCAAACAAACAAAATCTGTTACAGCCAGAAATGACGTACTAACATGTAGAGTAATGATATTTATCGACATCAGTTACAGAAACGCAAGGTGTAACATTCCTGATGTTCATGTTCCTCAAAGTGCTGATTTCTTACCTTTTGCATGTATGCATGATCTGTTAATGTAACGCTTTATGGTAAATTGATGTATGAATGTGACGTAACAATTTCGAGTTCCTTTTTAAGAATGAGTTTCGCCAATAAAGTCATTGAACAATCGGCTCTAACATTGACGTTATAACAAAAGCATTGTGACATTTGAAATGCACGTGATAATGCACCATGTGAATGCGTCTATGACAGTAAACGTGAGGGTACCAACTTTGCACCTATTTTGACAGATTTGTTTTAGCTTTAATTTATTTAGGATCAGACAAAAGTGTGTCCATTATATATGTATTTGATAGATCTAACCTGATTTACTATATATTTTAACAAATTGAATTTTGAATCCATACTGAATCATTGAAACGAGCCAAGATTCTGTATTGAGGAACACCAATAGATTGCACCCATGGTTAACTACATATCCGTAAAAATTGAATAACTGTTGTTTTGTTTTATTATTCACATTTCTTAAATAATTTGAAAATAGTCCATGCATTTTTTATGAAAGGATGTCTGTCACATATTTTAATATCTCATTTTTTAAAAGTCGACTTTTTGTAGACGTCGCATGCAACGTTCCGTAATTTAACTTTTTTTACTTGACTTTTCGTCTGTTGATATATAATGTGAAAGTTTTGTGTATCTAGAAGAATATTTAGATATGTAAAAATACGTGCATAATGATATATGAAAACTATACGAATTATTCTCTAAGAAATCAGATATTCGTAGCTTTTTATGCAAAATAGGTGCAATTTGGATACTTTTACGTTGTATTTTTACTTGATGACACTCTCGTTTTCACAAAAATCTTACGATAAGAAAAATACTCGTTATTGGTTATAAATATTTCTGTATTACTTACGATCAAGTTTAGGAATAAGATTTATGTGGAAGCTACTAATTATGTAAAAATCGATGAAAACGAGAAATAATTTCCTGAATAAGGCATTCCGCACACATTAAAGAGGGACTAGATGTGTTAAGGGTAATATTCGATCCCTTTATCGAGTCCATCTTTTCAAATAATACCGTGCTCGTCCTGTGCATTCGTGGAAGGTCGTGGTGTTGACCCCAATACGGGTCAATCTGACAACCTGAAAATTGATATGTGTTGCTTCACAGATAAGCATTAGGCATTAGGAGTTAAGTAAAAACTGGTGGCTTGGAGTCGGGTAGAATGACATGTATTGTCTTTTGAACTAGCACGTTAAACATCCGGCTCAGTGTGTCGGTGTACTACAAGGCCGGGTTCTTATTCACATCACATTATGTTCTCGTTCTGGTATATGTATGATATGTTAATGGCCAATTGACGTTATGCAACATATCATCATCATCGCCATCATCAAGAAGAAAAGTTAATATTTAGATGAGTAAATGAACTAGAACGGTTTTTGTCGACGATATATTTAAAACGTTAACAATTAGAATGTTCTGACAACCAGTGGAAATTTGATTGTTTTAAGTGGATTTAACTTTGAAGTCATAAAAAGATATTTGATGTGTAAATTTAATATAAAAAGACTAATGGCTTACATATAAATGATAAATTAGGAAAATGGAATAAAATCATAATTTGAAAAATTATAGTAATATGGGCCCTTATCGATTATACTCCTTTGTAGTTAATTGAACGATACGTTTCTTACCAAAACCAGTTGACGAACACTTTGGTTTTAGTTTGAAAAAGTACAGTTTCCGTTATGTCTGATTTGTAATTCACTATCGGGAAACGTGACAACAAACCATTTTTTCATTGGAATTGAGAATGGAAACGGGGAATGTGTCAATGAGACGACAACTCGACCAAAGAGCAGAAAACAACCCAAGGCCACCAGTACATTTTATCAACTAGAACTCTAGTACATTTACAAATTCAAGTGATTAATTGAACGCACCAAATCAATTCAGACGTATGGTCTTAACTACTGTCGAAGTAACTTCGCAATGCTGTAAAACTAATATTTATAAATTTTACCAACATTTTCAGGCACTTTCCAAACACCTTTAAGGCGACGTAAAACAATTTTCAAAAGACGACTAATTACCAACTAAAAAAAGCTAACTTGAAGCGGCTTTTTCGAATGAACCTGTCTAAATGTGCGTATTTTTATGAATCAGAAACATGATTTATTCATTTTTGTATTGGATTAGAGGTTGTCAAATCTTTCAAGTCAAAGCAGTTCATATTGTATTATTTTTATTGCTTAAGGGTGCGGTCTCATACAAAAGTTATGAAAAAGTTAAGGTTTCATATACATCAGTTTTAATGAAATCAATGGTATAATACAAATAATGTTTTAAGGTCATGTGGAGTCATTGTAATAATATTAAATGTGCCATGAACGTATTGGTACGTGCTGGTTTCTTCGTGAACGTTTTTTGATTTTACATCAAACATTCATTTTTTAAGTTTTTGTTCTTTCCTTTCACTCCATGGTTCCCATAGCACCTGTCAACTTTTTGTAGTCATATTTATTGACTAGAAATTAATTTAAACCAAAAACAATTGCTAAATGTACTTAGGCATTGATTCTGATATTAAAAAAGAGAAGAAATATGCATGTTGAAAATATGTGTAATGAATGAACAAAACTTTAATTATCATGACAGCTCTAAAAACGCTTTTTTGTAATAAATAATAGTAAATAATAGAATAATATATGGAAAGACGCTTAGTTCATTTTCAATCAAAGCTAGTCAATTAGCAATAAACCTCTCATATGCGCGATCTCATAAATAAAATGTAAAAATATGATATGAGATACAGCAACCCAACAAATAAAACAAGAAACCATTTACAGATATATATACAGTCTTCATCAACAGATAGGTGTGTATACAATATACCATGCTCATAGTCACCCCGAGTCTTGAAAATTAGTGATGAATTCACCATAAAAGATATACACAAATGAAGTTATGAGTATTATTATATTATTATTTCTTATCCAATTTAACCCACTATGCTAAACTTAAATTCCTCAAATACCAAATTTATCAATAAAATATGTTAAATACATCATTTTCCGAATTTTTAATTAATAAATCCTTCAATTTGCAATGATGCGTGTATTCTGTTTTAATCTGTAAATCAAATTAAAATATTCTAATTCAACAAAATCCGTTATTTTTAAAATAAACATTAATCTTCGATTTATGTCACGTTTTGTTTGTTCATTTCAAACTCAAAATAATAAAACATTTGTATTGTGTTTGCCTTTAATATTAGTCACTATCTATAAACATTAAATCAATTAATAACAATAATTAATTATTTCCTTTGTTTATAAGGAATCTTCCATTCTGACACTTCACTCTTTGTTTGATCATGTTAGAAAGACATCATATATTTTAGGACAACAAGCATTCAGATTCCCTTCTATGTTATACTTGAAATGTCGCTTGTTCATAAGGTCTCGACCAACTCCCAAAAAAAACCAGTCTAGGGCAGAGGTAAACAGTATTCAAGACTAATCAATAATTGTATAATGTTATATTCAAAGTCTTCAAACACATGCTGTCATCAATTTATCTTATCCTGATTACCAACATGTACATAAAAAGGATACAAAATCAAAGAGCTGAAAGCTCTGAGGAAAAATGACGCCATTGTCTCTAATATTGGTATATTTTTATGCAAGTCTTGATTTTCACATAATTTACCTACTGATTCTTAGGAGACTTTTCAATTCATGGTAGGTAGGCTGACTGACAATAGAATAGATATGAATTGTTTTCAATGTCAATGGCTGTTTTATTTGTTTGTCAAGATATATATATATATGTGTGTGAATTGAAGATGACTACTTGTTGTTCTGTTGTACAAAGAAATAGATCAAGACTACTTGAACAATCTACAATATTCAAAGTAATATGTGAATTTGTTTCTTGCAATTTCATTATTCTTAGACAAGGATACATTAACAGACTATCACCTTCTTTGTAGAATTATTTAACAAAATGATTATGAAGAGCCTGTAGTAAGAAAGCTCTTATACCCCACATAGTCCTTATTTAGAGAAAAGTTACAGGTGACCTAGTGACATTGTTATTTCTGTTAAAGCATGATTAATTTCTGTAGATTTAGACAATAGTATTGTTATACTAAATTAAAGAAATTTTAAGATTGCAATTATAATGGGTATATTCGCCGCTCATCGATTACTTCTGTATTGTTTGGGTAGAAAGTAAAAATGAATGGATAATAAGAATATTAAAACTTCTGAAAAGAGCAGCAGGATTAATTCTTGATGCAGACCCTTTATCCCAATCAGCCCCCTTATTTAAAGAACTTGGATGGATGACAGTAGAAAATAGAATCAAATACCACAAATATTTACTGCTATATAAATGTATGCGGAAAGAAGCACCACAGTACCTACGTCAAAAGTTTCAACTTATATCTGTTAATAATCCTTATACTTTCAGGGGTGTTACTCAAGGTAATTTGATAGTTCCTAAGCCAAAAACTGAACTGTTTAAAAAATCTTTTGCTTATTCTAG